TTGTTGACATTCAGGTCATTAATTGTCATCATTGCTATCAATTGTGCTAAAATCATGCCGAAGAAAAAATGCTACAGAAGTGCTTGAGGCTGTTGAAAATGATAATAGTACTAGTACGAGAAGAATTTTTGTACTTACTGGACAAGCTAGGACGGTTGTGCATGACACTTTGCGGGAAAACAGACTGCATCCCTATCATTACCAACCAGTACAACAACTTCTTCCCGAGGATCTTCCCCAAAGAGTTCGCCTTTGTGAATGGTGGAGAAATCATCTGGATACTCTTTCAAGAACTCTTTTTTGTGACGAAGCTACATTTACTAGAGATGGAATCAACAATTTTCATAACGAACATGTGTGAAGATTCGAAAACCCTCATACTGTTCGAGAAACCCATTTCCAGAGTAGATTCTCCGTAAACGTTTGGGCTGGAATAATTAATAATGTTGTTATTGGACCGCATTTTTTCGACGGAAATTTGAACAGCGAAATATTCCAGGAGGTTTTTTAGAACTTCTGCAAGCACTTCTGCAGCATTTTTTCTTCGGCATGATTTTAGCACAATTGATAATAATGATACTTGGGAATTCGAGAAAAGTGAATAGAATCATTTGTGCTTAAAATTAATTATAGAATTAATATACAAAGTTTCTCGGATACCTCAGCGGACACCCTGTATAATAGAAAAATTCGTTTTTTCAGAATAAAGCAAAAAGAGAAATTTGAATGTTTTCAAATCCTCCATAAATCTCCAACACAAACTCAATCTGTTCGGTAATTTCTTCGTTACGGTCGGTATTTGAAGGCACAAAAACAAAAAAAAAACTTGCAATTAGCCGTAGCAGAGTTGGTTGGTTGCGAGCAGCAGAGAGCAGAGCGTTGATAGCGTCCATAACTCGGAGGGCGTCGCGTTGTTGCGGCACCGCGCCGGGATTAGTTATTCATGGGAAGAGTGCCCGTTCGTTCGCCATAAACTCTCTCCTCTGGCACACTATTTACGATCCGGACCGGCGAACCGGCATTAATCCGCTGCCGCCGCGAGCTCACGTGAAATATTTACCCGTCAGCATCCTGCTTTTTTTCCCTCTTATTTCTTGAGCTTCTCTCCCCATGCCATGATACTAAACTTCTTCATTTTTTTTTGCCAACCAAATAAATTTGCAAAAAAGATCATTTTTTCAATACTACTTAAAGTTAAATTGGTACTTAACGCGTGCTTAGCTAAACTGGTTAGAAAACAACAATCGTTTTGTCACAGTTGGTGTGTTGCCTTTCAAACAAGTTCTTTTTTTGCAAACTTCTTCCGTGCTTTACCCGGTTTAACACGGCATATGTTGGATAAAAAAAGAAACGTGTGCGATTCCTACATGGGACTCTCTTGGTCGATTTGAAATTTTAATCGACCGGACACTCCGTCGTGAAAGCACACCCTGGCGACGTGTAAGGGCCTAATACGGCGTCCTACCATTTGCACCTACCCGATGCTCGACACGTACTTCAGCCTGTTGCAGAGCTTTTTTCCGTAGAACTCTTTGCAATTAGTCCGTAAGGACCTCTTTCTCCTTCGTCGACAGCTTTTCAGAAACGTCGTGAAAACGACTTTATTGCCACCGAGGCGACTCTTAAACAATTCTTTAGAACATTTTAAAAAATAATCTTTTTGTAAATAAACCAAAGAAATCTAAACGACGTATTTATAACGGTTTAAGTGCATCTTTCATCAAGTTAGTTCATATAAACTTAGCCTTATATAGAACAGATGGCGCCTCTCAAAAGCACAAAAAATTTCTATACGTGAAATAAAAAAATTAAAAATACCTTTATTATTAAGATGTTCCTTTTACAAAAAGGTACGTTTTAATTATTTTTTTTAAATAATCTTTTATTAAAACGATCTTATTTATATCGATAATAAGAAGTTGTTGAAAAGTGAGGTCGTTAGAGAAATCTAAATTACCGACTCCGGTGAAAAGCTCCTCGATCCCAATTAATAAATGCTCAAACAGGCGGCTGGGTAAACAGTGTGTTAAAAGAGGCAATTGAACCTCGCAATGTTGCTGTGGAGTCGTCGTCGTCGTCGAGGGCGATAAAACGGGCGTTTTAAGGCCTCTTCGTGGCGGCTTATCGAGGCTACTCGTACTACAGGTCGTTCTCCAAGCTCGAAACGGCTCCTTATTGACCATAAAAACCCCCATTGTATTGATTGTAAATGTGCTCGTGCGCGCTTTCGCTCAACACTTTCTGCCGTTGCCTTTCAATTCGGTACGGCTACCGTGCGTTAGGTGGCGCCGTAGGTCGTTTTCCATAACCTACTATACACACAGTGTACCTTTTCAAGTAGCTCAATAAGATCTTTCTTTTGATTACAAATTTAAAGTCAATAAATTTTTTTTTGTATTAAAAAATATTTTTTTGAAACAATTTGATTAAAAATTGTAATAAAGGATTAAGATAATGAATATTTGAAATATATAAAAAATCACTTGATACCAAGAATTTAAAGTCAAGGTCGTTTGCGGCCGAGATACTACAATTGAGACATTGAAAGATAAACCATGAAGTATAACTGAGATTTTATTGATACTAAAAATTGATAATTTTAAAAAATGGTGCCTACAAAAGTTGTTCCTTTTTTAATTCTTAACAAGTTTTATTTGAAAAATATTTTGATACAAACAAAAACTAGGAAGATATTCTTGAATTCGATTTTTATACTGTTCAGAGGGAAATTAAAAAATTGATAATTTTAAAAAATGGTGCCAATAAAAATTGTTCCTTTTTTAATTCTTAACAAGTGTTATTAGAAAAATATTTTGATACAAACAAAAATTAGGAAGATATTCTTGAATTCCACTACTATACTATTCACAGGGAAATTAAAAAATTGATAATTTTAGAAAATGGTGCCAATAAAAGTTGTTCCTTGTTTAATTCTTAACAAGTTTTATTAGAAAAATATTTTTATACAAACAAAAATTAGGAAGATATTCTTGAATTCGATTTTTATACTGTTCAGAGGGAAATTAAAAAATTGATAATTTAAAAAAATGTTGTTAATAAAAGTTGTTCCTTGTTTAATTCTTAACAAGTTTTATTAGAAAAATATTTGGATACAAACAAAAATTAGGAAGATATTTTTGAATTCTACTACTATACTATTCACAGGGAAATTAAAAAATTGATAATTTTAAAAAATGGTGCCAATAAAAGTTGTTTCTTGTTTAATTCTTAACAAGTTTTATTAGAAAAATATTTTGATACAAACAAAAATTAGGAAGATATTTTTGAACTCCACTACTATACTATTCACAGGGAAATTAAAAAATTGATAATTTTTAAAAATGATGCGAATAAAAGTTGTTCCTTGTTTAATTCTTAACAAGTTTTATTTGAAAAATATTTTGATACAAACAAAACTTAGAACAATATTCCTGAATTTGATTTTTATACTGTTCACTGGGAAATTAAAAAATTGATAATTTTAAAAAATGGTGCAAATAAAAGTTGTTCCTTGTTTAATTCTTAACAAGTTTTATTAGAAAAATATTATGATACAAACAAAAATTAGGAAGATATTCTTGAATTCCACTACTATACTATTCACAGGTAAATTAAAAAATTGATAATTTTAAAAAATGGTGCTAATAAAAGTTGTTCCTTTTTTAATTCTTAACAAGTTTTATTAGAAAAATATTTTGATACAAACAAAAATTAGCAAAATATTCTTGAATTCGGTTTTTATACTATTCACAGGGAAATTAAAAAATTGATAATTTTAAAAAATGGTGCCAATAAAAGTTGTTCCTTGTTTAATTCTTAACAAGTTTTATTAGAAAAATATTTTAATACAAGCAAAAATTAGGAAGATATTCTTGAATTCGATTTTTATACTGTTCAGAGGGAAATTAAAAAATTGATAATTTTAAAAAATGGTGCTAATAAAAGTTGTTCCTTGTTTAATTCTTAACAAGTTTTATTAGAAAAATATTTTGATACAAACAAAAATTAGGAAAATATTCTTAAATTCGGTTTTTATACTGTTCAGAGGGAAATTAAAAAATTAATTATTTTAAAAAATGGTGCCTACAAAAGTTGTTCCTTGTTTAATTCTTAACAAGTTTTATTTAAAAAATATTTTGATACAAACAATAATTTGGAAAATAATTTCGAATTTCATTTCTATACTGTTCACAGGGAAATTAAAGGATTGGTAATTGTCAAAAATGTTTATATATTATATATAGCAATTTTTGTTTTACCGAGATTCAAATATTTCAATCATATATATAAAACACCTCTTCTCAGTAGTAAATTGTTTTATTTTTTATACAATTAAAACATTATTTCCTCGACGTTTCGAGCTTTTAATGGTATTATCAAGAATTAGTATCATCTTAGCGCAATCTTACATTGTAAAATCTATTCTAACGATAGCACGTGTCACGATAGCAATTTTTTTATATATTTTATTATAAAATTTTTTTCATATTAATTGGTTAATTATATAGGATTAAAAATATTAATGATCATATAAATTTATTGTTGGATTTATACGGTTTAATTAATTAATTAATAACCAGTAATGTTATGGCAATAAATAATATTGAATTTATTAATTTGTGATGACGATTTGGAAAATAATACTTCCCGGGGGCGTTGTTGTTCACGAATAATATCGTTTGTAGTAACTCAGTTCCGGTTCGAAAGTTTATATTTACGGTAATGTTGGATTATTTGTATCTATTTATTTTGTTTCCCGTTCAGGTTATTTTAAAAGCTATAAATTAACAATGATCGTAATTTAATACCACGTCGTTAAAAAATTTCATTAAAAATCTTCTTTTTCCAACTTTCTCTCTTAAGATACAGATTCGTTCGCCAAAGGAGCTTTCTAAACTTCATCGCCCGGTGCATAGATGTCGCTCTAACCCGTTCTCGATTCTGCAAGAAAAAAAAATTCGACAATAAATTATTCATAAGGCAATCGTCGACTGCATACGAGCGCTTAATGGCCACCATTTCGATGTTAATCCCTCCCATAAAGTCCACAATTACAATTATATTTAATAACTTACGGATGCCAACTCAGTTTTGCGTCGTATTTCTCATTTTTTTGAATATTCATCAACAAATATTTGCAGAAAATTTTTTTTCTTTCTTAGATTTTTTTATGCAGTTAAATAATCAGCATTGATGATAAATCGTTTTAGTATTCAACTCCGCCTCCCTGTCTCGTTTATTGTAATTCCAATCGTCGAACGGTGTCGTTAATGTCTGGATGAAGCGATAGTGAGAACACATATAAATTAGCTATCGTCTGCCTTCATGTTATTCGTTGCTGCATCATGTGGAGACGTTATGGTTTTGTAAGCGTGCCAATTTGCGTTATGGTCTCGTACTGTCGCCACTCCATCATTATATCCAACTGATGACGATCCGTGCATGTTAATTTGTTAGTTTGTAGTCGATTCAAACGGATTTCTTTTTATAAAAAGACCACCAACAAATACTTAAACACGTTTCAATTAAAAAATATTATATATCTTACCATTAAGAATTCCCTCTTTGGAATGTAATATGATATGGAGAATCTATAAATAGACTTTGGGGGTAAGAATATATCGACCCTTTTTGTTGCCTCTCCTCCTCTTTTCGGTGATAGGTTCAAGCTCGTTCCATCAAAAACATGTGTCTCTCTTCCCAAATGGATTTAGAAATACTTTCCAATCTAAAAAAGAAAAAAAAAAAAAAAATCAGTTTAGTTTAAAATAAAATCTTATTGTTGTATCACGAAATGAATTTATTACACGATTTTTCTATAAATTCTTTCTATTTTGCGTTTAATTAACCGCAGGAATTGTTTACTTAGATGGTCAAATAAAAAACGAGATTCTTCATCATTCTTAACATTACCATTTCAAAGACATAGCATGTGCGTAAATAGTCATTGTTTTTTTTATTATTAAACATTACTAGTCCCCCCTCATCGTGGGTGTGAAACACGACGTGACATAAATCGGATCGTAAAATTCAAATACGAACAATTTATCAGCTTTTTGTCCCTCTATTATTTATTATTTATGTTCATTTATTTCGAACCGCAATTGTAAAACGACCTCGAATTCGAATTTCATTTAATATCGATTCTAAGGTGACTCCTTTTAAATATAGATTAAAAATTTCCTAATCCCATAAGTTATAATTAAAGCGATAAATCTGATTTTTTCATTTTTATTCGTTTGAAAAGCACGTCTCGTTCGGGAAAACTTTTTTCCACGGTATTTTTTGACATTTTCCAGTTTTTTTGCTAATTTTTTTTTGCAAGGGTCGACATGACCGCGGGGTTTGCGTGCGATGTTGCGGCCGTGGAATCGATGCATCAAACGTGTTTTACGATGGCCGACATTTTATGGAAAAGCTCGTTGCCAAAAAAAATTCAACACAGTTAAAAAAAAATTTCTGTAAACTTTTTATTATATTTCTCCATTTTTATTTTCGTTTAACCTTAGGGGGCAGATTTAGATATAGAAGAAATCCAGCCCTTGTTCGGTTTTGTTTACTTTCACGGTAGAGTTAACACCTTTTTTCGAGTGCCATTTGACGTTATTTCACAATAGAATAGTTTTACTTTCAGCTTCCTCAAAAGTACGTCTATTTTTGTTTGTGTATATATAAAGGAATTAAAGGGGAGGGTTTTATTACACACTTAAATGGTTTTGTAACAATACATTATACGTTAAATCGTATTTCAAATTTGAGATGAATTAATTTTGTATATCTTAAAAAAATCGATTTTGAAGATATTATTCTTTTTCTCGAAAACTAAAAGTTTTATTTAAAAACGGTGTTCTTCATGAAAAAGTACTCACTTTCTTCTATAAATCGTGAATATTTCATCGAGATATCTTAAGAATGCAATTTTTTACGATTTTTTTAAAAAACATAGAAACAATTTGTGAAATCAAAAAACTCGATTTAATAAAACATTATTATTTCAAGAACGGGTAGAGATATTCAAGTACGGGTTTGTTCATGAAAAAGTTCACACTTTCTTCTATGAATCGTGAATATTTCATCAAGATATCTTAAGAATTAATTTTTTTACGATTTTTTAAAAAAGATAGACACAATTTATGAAATCAAAAAATTCGAGTTAATAAAACCTTATTATTTCAAGAACGGGTAGAGATTTTCAAGTACGGTTTTGTTCGTGAAAAAGTACTCAATTTCTTCTATAAATCGTGAATATTTCATCAAGATATCGTAAGAATTCATTTTTTTACGATTTTTTAAAGAAAATGTGAAAAATCGTTACGATTATGAAGTTATACAAATTAGGGTTGAATTAAAAAATTAATATCTCAAGAACGGGTAGAGATATTCAAGTACGGTTTTGTTCATGAAAAAGTACTCACTTTCTTCTATAAATCGTGAATATTTCATCAAGATATCTTAAGAATTCAACTTTTTACGATTTTTTAAAAAAGATGGAAAAAAATCGTTATGTTTATGAAGTTATAAAAATTAAGGTTGAATTAAAAAATTATTATCTCAAGAACGAGTAGAGATATTCAAGTACGGTTTTGTTCATGAAAAAGTACACACTTTCCTCTATAAATCGTGAATATTTCATCAAAATATCTTAAGAATCCAATTTTTTAATAAAGATGGAAACAATTCATGAAATCAAAAAGTTTAGGTTAACAAAACATTATTATCTCAAGAACGAGTATAGATTTTCAAGTACGGTTTTGTTCATAAAAAAGTATTCACTTTCTTCCATAAATCGTGAATATTTCATCAAGATATCTTAAGAATTCAATTTTTTATGATTTTTTAAAAAAGATAGAAACAGTTTATAAAACCAAAAAACTCGAGTTGTTATCTCAAGAACGGGTAATGATTTTCAAATACGGTTTTGTTCATGAAAAAGTACTCACTTTCTTCTATAAATCGTGAATATTTCATCGAGATATCTTAAGAATTCAATTTTTTATGATTTTTAAAAAAAGATAGAAACTATTTATGAAATCAAAAATTTCGAGTTAATAAAACATTATTATCTCAAGAACGAGTAGAGATTTTCAAGTACAGTTTTGTTTATAAAAAAGTACTCACTTTCTTCTATAAATCGTGAATATTTTATCTAGATATCTTAAGAATTCAATTTTTTACGATTTTTTAAAAATCAAAAAATTCTAGTTAATAAAACCTTATTATCTCAAGAACGGGTAGAAATTTTCAAGTACGGTTTTGTTCATGAAAAAGTACTCACTTTCTTCTATAAATCGTGAATATTTCATCAAGATATCTTAAGAATTCAATTTTTTACGATTTTTTAAAAAGATGCAAAAAAATCATTATGTTTATGAATATAAAAACTAGGGTTGGGTTAAAAAATTATTATCTCAAGAACGGGTAGAGATATACAAGTACGGTTTTGTTCATGAAAAAGTACTCACTTTCTTCTATAAATCGTGAATATTTCCTCAAGATATCTTAAGAATCAAATTTTTTACAACTTTTTAAAAAAGATAGAAACCATTCATGAAATCAAAAAATTCGATTTAATAAAACATTATTATCTTAAGAACGGGTAGAGATTTTCAAGTACGGTTTTGTGCATGAAAAAGTACTCACTTTCTTCTATAAATCGTGAATATTTCATTAAGATATCTTAAGAATCCAATTTTTTACGATTTTTTAAAAAGATAGAGACAATTTATGAAATCAAAAAATTCGAGTTAATAAAACCTTATTATTTCATGAACGGGTAGAAATTTTCAAGTACGGTTTTGTTCATGAAAAAGTATTCACTTTCTTCTATAAATCGTGAATATTTCATCAAAATATCTTAAGAATCTGATTTTTCGCGATTTTTTGACAAGGACGGAAACAATTTATGAAATCAAAAAGTTCGAGTTAATAAAATATTATTATCTCAAGAACGAGTAGAGATATTCAAGTACGGTTTTGTTCATGAAAAAGTACACACTTTCTTCTATAAATCGTGATTATTTCATCAAAATATCTTAAGAATCTGATTTTTCACGATTTTTTAAAAATATGCAAAAAAATCATTATGTTTATGAATATAAAAACTAGGGTTGGGTTAAAAAATTATTATCTCAAGAACGGGTAGAGATATTCAAGTACGGTTTTGTTCATGAAAAAGTACTGACTTTCTTCTATAAATCGTGAATATTTCATCAAGATATCTTAAGAATCAAATTTTTTACGACTTTTTAAAAAAAATAGAAACTATTTATGAAATCAAAAAACTCGATTTAATAAAACATTATTATCTTAAGAACGGGTAGAGATTTTCAAGTACGGTTTTGTTCATGAAAAATTACTCACTTTCTTCTATAAATCTTGAATATTTCATCAAGATATCTTAAGAATTCATTACTTTCGATTTTTTCAAATCACAAAATTCGAGTTAATAAAACATTATTATCTCAAGAACGAGTAGAGATTTTCAAGTACGGTTTTGTTCATGAAAAAGTACACACTTTCTTCTATAAATCATGAATATTTCATCAAAATATCTTAAAAATCTGATTTTTCACGATTTTTTAAAGATGATGAAAACAATTTATGAATTCAAAAAATTCGAATTAATAAAAAATTATTATGTCAAGAACGGATAAAGATATTCAGGTACAACTCTTTGTATAATAAAGTACATACTTTCCTTTATAAATAGCGAATAAACAACGTGATTAGATTTTTTACANAAAAAATGATTAAATTCGAAAAATTGTTGAGACGTTATTTTTGAAGATTAAGAAATGATTTTTATGTTAAATTAAAGCTAAATTCTTTATTTTTAAGAAAATGTCTTAAAATTATTATATTGCATGATTAAATTCTTGAGATATTCTGAGATATCTAAAACTCTGCTTTTTCGTTCATTTAATTAAAATAGCATTGTTTTAAAAAAAATCGTATTTTCAAAATTATAGGTGTTTTTGAATTAATATTTATCATATGTATTCTATGAAGATTAAGCTTTAAAATAAATCTTCTTTCATCCTTTAATCATAATTAGAACCAGAGATATGAATTTTTGAAAATTTTAAAAATTAATTCAAACTAAAATAATGATTAAATTCGAAAAATTGCTAAGACGTTAATTTTGATGATTAAGAAATGCTTTTTATGCTAAATTAAAGCTAAATTCTTTATCTTTAAGAAAATGTCTTAAAATTATGATATTTCATAATTAAATTCTTAAGATATTCTGAGATATCTAAACCTCTGCTTTTTTCTTCATTTAATTAAAATAGCATTGTTTTAAAAAAGCCGTATTTTGAAAATTATAGGTGTTTTTAAATTAATGTTTATCACATGTATTCTATGAAGATTAAGCTTTAAAATAAATCTTATTTCATCCTTTAATCATAATTAGAACAAGAGATATGAATTTTTGAAAAATGTAAAAATTAAGTCAAACCAAAAAAAATGATTAAGCTCGAAAAATTACTGAAACGTTATTTTTGATGATTAATAAATAATTTTTATGTTAAATTAAAGCTAAATTCTTTATCTTTAAGAAAATACCATAAAATAATAATATTTCATAATTAAATTTTTGAGATATTCTAAGATATCTAAAACTCTGCTTTTTTCTTCATTTAATTAAAATAGCAATGTTTTAAAAAAGCCGTGTTTTGAAAATTATAGGTGTTTTTTAAATTAATGTTTATCACATGTATTCTATGAAGATTAAGCTTTAAAATAAATCTTATTTCACCTTTTAATCATAATTAGAACCAGAGATATGATTTTTTGAAAATTGTAAAAATTAATTCAAACTAAAATAATGATTAAATTCGAAAAATTGTTGAGACGTTATTTTTGAAGATTAAGAAATGATTTTTATGTTAAATTAAACCTAAATTCTTTATTTTTAAGAAAATGTCTTAAAATTATTATATTGCATGATTAAATTCTTGAGATATTCTGAGATATCTAAAACTCTGCTTTTTTCTTCATTTAATTTAAATAGCATTGTTTTAAAAAAACCGTATTTTGAAAATTATAGGTGTTTTTTAAATTAATGTTTATCACATGTATTCTATGAAGATTAAGCTTTAAAATAAATCTTATTTCAGCCTTTAATCATAATTAGAACCAGAGATATGAATTTTTGAAAATTGTAAAAATTAATTCAAATTAAAAAAATTACTGAGGCATTATTTTTGATGATTACGAAATAATTTTTATGTTAAATTAAAGCTGAATTCTTTATTTTTTTAAAAATACCCTAAAATAATAATATTTCATAACTAAATTCTTGAGATATTCCGAAATATCAAAAACTCTGCTTTTTTCATCATTTAATTAAAATAGCATTGTTTTAAAAAAACCGTATTTTGAAAATTATAGGTGTTTTTAAATTAATGTTTATCACATGTATTCTATGAAGATTAAGCTTTAAAATAAATCTTATTTCACCTTTTAATCATAATTAGAAGCAGAGATATGAATTTTTGAAAATTGCGTTTTTCATCGTAAAAATTAATTCAAACTAAAAATATGATTAAGTTCGAAAACTTGCTGAGACGCTATTTTTGGAGATTAAGAAATAATTTTTATGTTAAATTAAATCTAAATTCTTTATCTTTGAGAAAATGCCATAAAATAATGATATTTCATAATTAAATTCTTGAGATATTCCGAGATATCAAAAACTCGGTTTTTTCTGATTAAAAAATAGCATAATTAATTTATTTTTGAATATTTAGAAATAATTTGTATACCAAAATTGAAATTTAAAGCATCCTCTTTAAAGTGATATATATTATATATCACTTAACTATTTCGTAATAGTATTAGTTAAAAATAAATAACCTTCTTTATGTTTTAACGAGACTCTTTCAACAAAACAATAACTTATAGAATGGTCGGTTTGTTTCCCAAGAAAATACCGAAAATTCTTGAACCGTTTCGTCGTTCGACGACGACGACAGCTTTTTCCGCGACAACTTGTGAGTGATCCGCGAACGCGCGAGGACCTTTAAGGATTTATTACGAATGCGCAAACTATCTTCAGGATTCAGGATAATTGAGCCATAAATCGCCGCATACCGGGGTTGTGCGCCGCTTGATTTACGCCCAAACATAAATTACACTTTCAATTTCCTTTTCGGGGGGGTTAAGATTTTCATTTAAAAATTAAGATTTCTATTCCAACCGATTTTTTGTTTTGAAAATTAAGATTTTTAAGCATTTTTCTAAATAGAGATATCAAAAACGGTTCTGGTTGGGGTCAGTCGTAAATCAACGGTGGAAAGAAGAAGTTAAGGTATAGACGAAGAAGAAGAAGCATTACCTGTGGGTCCTTTTACCTTGATGGGTTTTTTAAACCTCTCTATTGTTTCTATCACGCCGGGATTCTATTTTTTTTTTTTTACTTTTTTAAACGCGATCATCACCCCCCCAGCTGAACCGAATTCGGTTGACCGAAACCGGGGCGAAGGGGATAAAGGTAATAATAATAGGGGTCCTTTTTAATGGCCGTCCCCTTCTGAACAACGAACAATAGCAGACCATCTTTGTGTGTGTGCTTTTACCACTTCTCGTCTCTTCTGAGTTTAGTTTCGTTTTGTTGCTCGTCTAGAACACACGTTCTTATTATCTGGTTTTTTAATTTCCAAAAAATGTGTCTAAACAGTTTTGGTGCGAAGTGAAAGTGTTAAATTTAGATTTAGTGTTGTTATAAACATCTATTAGTTTTGAGTTAATAATTTGTTATTTCTCTTGAGTAAATTTGCCAAAATTTAATTCCCCCCTCTATCTGAAAATTTAATAAACGCAATAACGTAAGGAGAGTGTACATAAGGACGCTCGGTGTGTTTATATAAATTAAATGGCGTCGTATCTCATGAAAACGGCGCCGCCGAGCGAACTCGGAGAGCTTTCGTGAGATAGGCACGAACCGGATTATGAAAGCTCAAAGTGATGTACAGGTCGTTTTAAAGTGTTTATGTGGCGGGGTGTATCATTTTTCGGTTTTAGAAATTCGAATAAAAAATAAAATAACGAATCCGTTTAAGTTATAATTTATTAATCTAATTTGATTTTTATTGAGCGTTTTATTTTATAGCTTTTTTATTGCTCCATCAAATCAAAAGATCAAAAGCACTAATATCCATAATAAATCTTTACACAATTTTAATTTCTAAATAAAATCTTTTTCAATTTCCTTTTAAAAAGTAAAAATAAAAAATCGTACTTGTTAAAAAACCAGGTTATAAATCTCGGTTGAATTAACGACCGCTTTTATAACCATTTTATTACTGTTATCAATTCGAAATATAAAAACATTAATAAATTTTACGGCTCGCGTTTTGTTGTTCGAGAGATTGTCACCTATTTTTTCAAAAAAAATTCCCTTGTTCATTGAAGCCTGTAATTTCCCGATTGATATCGTCAAAACATCAGCAAAACAATCAGTTTCATAAATCATCATTACGTTTATCTGCAAAAAAATCGGGAAAACCTAAAATAAATCCAAGGGTAGAAAAAAAAACAGCGATTTTAATCCAATCCGTTCGCGTGTTTATCCATAATAAAATAATTTTTTTAATATAATAAAATAAAAAAATTATAAAATTTAAAAAATCACCGAGGCGTTATTTTTTATGATTAAGAAATCATTTTTATGTTAAATTAAAGCTAAATTCTTTATCTTTAAGAAAATGCCTTAAAATAATAATNGATGATGAAAACAATTTATGAATTCAAAAAATTCGAATTAATAAAAAATTATTATGTCAAGAACGGATAAAGATATTCAGGTACAACTCTTTGTATAATAAAGTACATACTTTTCTTTATAAATAGCGAATAAACAACGTGATTAGATTTTTTACAATTTTTTAAATAGAATAGAAAAAGAATTGTAAGTATATAAAGTCATAAGATGTCAGTGAAATGGTGTCGAAATCGGTGAAATAAAATGAAAAGTAAAATAAATATCCATAATTATCTTTAAGAGTCTTAAAAGTTGTTAAAGCCATTAAGATTCTTGAATCTCTTTGTAGGTGTTAACTGATTAGGTCGTAAAACTTTAAAATGGTTTTGTAAACGAGTGGAAGTAGTAGGTGATGGGTCCGGTCGTAAAACTAACCACCGATTGACGTCGTCTTAAGAGGACGTCGGTCTTTGGACGGTTTTAGACAGCACTAAAAGAGCGTTAAATTTATGCCCCCGGACGAGCCGAAAACCTCCGGGCCTGTCGTCCCCGGATCGTAAAAACGCTAACGGTTTGTTTTGGTTGTAAATCGCACGAGGTGGCGGCGGACGGCAAGCGCAAGACTCTTCTTCGTCTGCTACTACCACTACTACACACTCTACGGGTCATAATCGGCGACGTTTACGACAATTTTACTGCCCGTAAAACGGCCATACCGGTAAATTATCGGCGCTTCTATAGTCAAATCGTCACGGTCGTAAAAACTATAAAAAGGTGTCATAAAATCATAAAAATTTTAAATAACACTTAATAACAATAAAAGATAACTTAATTTTAACGTACTAACAAAAAGAAAGTTGGCGCGTGTCGAACAATTTAAAATCGTCGTTGCGGGTCCTACGGCCGCGCCGCCTCTGGTTTGAAACGTTCGCCGCTTCCGCGATCGCCCGGACGAGGGAGCCACCGCTCTCATTTTCAGACAAGGAGCGACGCCATTGGGTGGGGGACTTCAGACCGCACCTCGTTTCAGCTGCGCATTACCTCGAGTGGGCATGACTTCTATTGCCATTGGCGTAGCTATTATACCCCCTACCTATATTGCCCCCTTTTGTTATAGTCTGAAACGTCATCGTTTTCTTTCTCTTTTCAACTGAGCTTACTTGATTTTAAGTTTCATCCCTTTTTAAATTGACGTAATGATCATTAGTTTTTGATTGCACTATACATATTCTTTTATTACATCACTTTGGGTATCAATCTTTCAAAGTACCATGATGATTTTTTTTTTTGAAAATTTAAAATTGAAATTTTTTTTTTGTGAATAAAGTGTGATGTGATGTGATGTTAATTGGGTTGGTCAAATCGATTGGATTGATTTGAGGGGATTAAGGGATTATAGTGATTGAAATGATTCAAATGATTGAAATGATTAAAGTGAGAGAGTTTTTGGGTTTGGAAAATGTATGGAGAATGTTGGTGGAGGGGATGGAGCGCGTGCTGAACGAAGGAGTGAAACAGACGATGGGATGCGTATAGCGTGTGGGTTTGTAGCAGACAGGCTCCAAAGGAGTCAGTGCGGTTCAGAGGCCGCTATTGAAATAGTCGTGGCATTCCCAACTGGGCTACCGCGCTGCGTTGTCGCATCATCTCGATCGTTTTCCCGACCAATATACACACGAGAACCACGACGACCACTTTTACGATTACTACAACTAGCTCTCCCCTTGATAATACAAAAATTTTACGGTTATTACCTTAACGATGCAATAAAAATAATCGCGCGCGAACGTGTATCTTAATAATAAAAGAATTTGTTTAAAAATTTTTTGATAACATACTTATTTAGATTTAGTGTGATTTAAATAATAAAAATTTTTGTGTGTTTTGAGTGTTTTCTAAAAGAAAAATAATCGCGGACTAAGAATTAACTTTTTTAATAACATTAAAAAAGTTTGTGTTTAAACATATTTTTTTAGTTAAGTGTTTTTTTACTTGTTAAAACCCCATGATGAACTCATATTTTGAGCCAAACACCTTTTACGGACACCCTCATCAAAGTGGCTCGGTGACCGGAAGTCACCACCACGATCAAAATAGCGCGTACAGACCGTTTCCGATCGCGCTCGGCATGTCACCTTATGCCTCGAGTCAACACCACCATCATCACTCGCTGCACCAGGCCAGGCCGCCCCAGGACTCACCTTACGACGCCTCAATAACCTCCGCCTGCAAATTATATTCATCATCAACCGAATCCCAACAGAACTCAGTCAATTACAGTTCAAACACGAAACCGGATTGTTCCAAAGGGAATTCAGATCAAAACGGTTACGCTTCCGTCGTAGCCGCCCAAGTTAAAGATGTTTGGCAAAGCACCACTTCTGGTGGAGGAGCTAATTTGAGTAGTTCTTTGGGCGGCCCCGTTAGGCCTTCGGCGTGCACCCCGGACTCAAGGGTCGGCGGTTATGGTTCTTCCGTTGGACTCGTCGGCGGTGATCCCGCTTCGAGTCCGGGGGCGGCAAGTGGCGGTAGAACGAACGCCCTTAGTGCGTGGAATAATCCGTGCTCCCTGAACACATCGACGTCGCAACCTGTAGGAACACAGCTGCACCAGCAATCAAACCATACGTTTTACCCCTGGATGGCCATAGCAGGTTAGTCTTTCTCACTCTAACATCCATGTTAATACGTTTTGTTTCCCTCTCATTCTCTCACCGCCCGCCGGTTAAACGAGGGGTCCCTTTTCTGACCCACTGTTATACTACTCATCAGCTGATTTTCATTTCATTCCAAATCGTTTTATATATATATAGATATTTCTTGCCATTAACTTCTTTTTTATCTCTAAAAATCAATAATAAAATTATATATATATATTATGTATGGATTATAATATATATCAACTTTATACAAAAATTTGCCATAATAAGACAGCATTCAATTGTTCTTATTTCAGAAAACAAATGAGCAACGAATAACACTTGAAGTTTTTAAATGGCAATGTACCCTTTTGTTAGGCTCATTTGATAGAGATTTTTTTTCTCTTTACTATGACATAAAATTTTAGTACTCTTATATCAGAAAATTTTAAAAAAAATATATAAAAATTGTTTATTAAGAAAATTTAACTAATAACATTAATCTAAATATCCGAGATCGTCAAGTACCTCGAATTATTGGAGATGTACACTAATTTTGCTCAAAAATTTTTTGATGTAAGGATACAAAAATTTTACGCCATCATAAAGAGAAAAATAATCTCTTTCAAATGAGCCTAAAGAAAGAATACATTGCCATTTAAAAAAATTTAAGTTAATTACTCATTTGTTTTCTGAATTAAAAACAATTGAATGCAGTCTTATTATGGCAAATAAAATATTAAACAAGTTTTTTTTATAAAGTTGATACCTACCAAGATATATACTATATTCCATACATAATGGACACCCTGTATATATATATATATATATATTTATATATATAATTATTAGCAAGAATGTTTTTGTTGTTACACCACTTATTAATACGAAAACCGGATGCTATTAAGCGCGTTAAATACGGCATTAGATGTAATAATAAATTTAGCAAAACAAACTAATCGAAAGCTAAAAAAAATAATCGATATGATTACATATTAATGTGGTTTTAATTTTAGGTCATGATAAATTTTATTCAATAATTTAAATAATTACTTAATTTATTACATATATATATATCCCGTATATTATAAAAATTAGAAAGAATACGAAACTAAAAGAAAAAAAATAAACACTACCAGTAATAAATCGTTTGTTGATGTATGCAAAGATTGTGCTTTAAATCTCGTCCCCGTCAATTGAATATTTAATGTACGATCAACTCGATTCGATTGCGTAATGTTATTCGAGTTGTGTAACGAAAAAATGTATCAACATATGTACGCCTACCGTTCGTATGAATACAATACAAAAAAGGGTTAGGATATAAATTAAAAAAAATATATATATATATAAGTTATATATAAATTATATATATAACTTCATACTTAATTTTTGATTTAATTTTACTTAAAATTGATTCAATAATATACAGTGTGCGTCAAAATGATTAATAACACATAATTTTGCCGCACACTGTATAACATGATAATAAAAATTACTTTTTAAAATAAAATTTGGCCTAATTTTGGAAAATTCTTCCTTGACAATGACCTGAATACGATTGTGTAGAAAATGTAGGGGGTTAAAAGTATAACTTCCAACACCCCCTGTTGGAAGTAGACGTTGGGGTCGGTCGTAAATAGTAAAAGCCCGCGAAAAGTGGACGAAAACGGGGTCCGGGACCGCCCTCGCACGGACTTTCAACTCGGCCCGGACTTAGTCCGGATGAGCGATGACGTATCGCCCGGAGTAGCTTTGTATTTAGTACCGTTTGCGGAACGGCGTTTACGGCTCGTCCTGAAAATATCCGGCCGTAAATTTCAGTTCACCCGGTACACGCTGAAAAAAGTACTAACAAATCGTAAATTTTTTTTTTATTATATCGCAACCGAAATTTAGTTATAAAGTTATTAAACGGGTTAGTAATTTTCAATTAGGCCCGTAAAGAAGACAATGTGACGACACCCACGTAAACTTCTACTGGGGGCCTTCTTTACTCAATGGATAAAGAGGAGCAGAGAGAGATTAAGATCTCGTCTCCTTATAAGAGGAGGAGTTGACTGCGAATAATTAATTTATTAACAGTTAAATTCTTATTTTTGAACGAGAAGAAGGAAACATCTTTTTTATATTATACTAATAAAATAATTACTTTTCTAATTAATTGAATAATTAGGTAACATAATAATAATTAAGCAACACCTCCGTGATGTGCAAATAATAAATAACGAGAGCGTCTCGTTCTCATGAAAATAACTTTCCTTTATCCACACTTTTTAAAAGTTAATGAATCATTTTTTTTAAATATATTCACATAAATTATATACTAATTCGTATCATTTTTATCATTAAGAAATGATTTTTATGTCAAATTAAAGCTAAATTCTTTATTTTTAAGAAATTGGCTTAAAATAATAATATTTCATAATGTGCTTTTTGTGTGACTGCTTTTTCGTCCATTTAATTAAAATAGCATTGTTTTAAAAAAATCGTATTTTCAAAATTATAGGTGTTTTTGAATTAATGTTTATCACATGTATTCTATGAAGATTAAGTTTTAAAATAAATCTTATTTCACCTTTTAATCATAATTAGAACCAGAGATATGATTTTTTGAAAATTGTAAAATTAATTCAAACTAAAAAAATGATTAAATTCGAAAAATTGTTACGACGTTATTTTTGATGATTAAGAAATGATTTTTATGTTAAATTAAAGCTAAATTCTTTATCTTTAAGAAATTGTCTTAAAATTATGACATTTCATAATTAAATTGTTGAGATATTCTGAGATATCTAAAACTCTGCTTTTTCGTTCATTTAATTAAAATAGCATTGTTTTAAAAAAGCCGTATTTTGAAAATTATAGGTGTTTTTAAATCAATGTTTATCACATGTATTCTATGAAGATTAAGCTTTAAAATAAATCTTATTTCACCTTTTAATCATAATTAGAACCAGAGATATGAATTTTTAAAAATTGTAACAATTAATTCAAACTAAAAAAAATGATTAAATTCGAAAAATTGTTGAGGCGTTATTTTTGATGATTAAGAAATGATTTTTATGTTAAATTAAAGCTAAATTCTTTATCTTTAAGAAAATGCCATAAAATAATAATATTTCATAATTAAATTCTTGAGATATTCCGAGATATCAAAAACTCTGCTTTTTCGTTCATTTAATTAAAATAGCATTGTTTTAAAATAAATCGTATTTTCAAAATTATAGGTGTTTTTAAATTAATGTTTATCACATGTATTCTATGAAGATTAAGCTTTAAAATAAATCTTCTTTCACCTTTTAATCATAATTAGAACCAGAGATATGATTTTTTGAAAATTGTAAAAATTAATTTAAACTAAAAAAAATGATTAAATTCGAAAAATTGTTGAGACGTTATTTTTGAAGATTAAGAAATGATTTTTATGTTAAATTAAAGCTAAATTCTTAATCTTTAAGAAATTGTCTTAAAATTATGACATTTCATAATTAAATTGTTGAGATATTCTGAGATATCTAAAACTCTGCTTTTTTCTTCATTTAATTAAAATAGCATTGTTTTAAAAAAGCCGTATTTTGAAAATTATAGGTGTTTTTAAATTAATGTTTATCACATGTATTCTATGAAGATTAAGCTTTAAAATAAATCTTATTNTCGTTCTCATGAAAATAACTTTCCTTTATCCACACTTTTTAAAAGTTAATGAATCATTTTTTTTAAATATATTCACATAAATTATATACTAATTCGTATCATTTTTATCATTAAAAAATGATTTTTATGTCAAATTAAAGCTAACTTCTTTATTTTTAAGAAATTGGCTTAAAATAATAATATTTCATAATTAAATTCTTGAGATATTCCGAGATATCAAAAACTCTGCTTTTTCGACCATTTAATTAAATGGTCGAAATATCGTATTTTAAAAATTATGGGTGTTTCTTAAATTAATGTTTACCACATGTATTCTATGAAGATTAAGCTTTAAAATAAATCTTATTTCACCTTTTAATCATAATTAGAACCAGAGATATGAATTTTTGAAAATTGTAAAAATTAATTCAAACTAAAAAAAAATGATTAAATTCGAAAAATTGTTGAGACGTTATTTTTGAAGATTAAGAAATGATTTTTATGTTAAATTAAAGCCAAATTCTTTATCTTTAAGAAAATGGCTTAAAGTTATAATATTTCATAATTAAATTCTTGAGATATTCCGAGATATCAAAAACTCTGCTTTTTCGTTCATTTAATTAAAATAGCATTGTTTTAAAAAAACCGTATTTTGAAAATTATAGGTGTTTTTAAATTAATGTTTATCACATGTATTCTATGAAGATTAAGCTTTAAAATAAATCTTATTTCACCTTTTAATCATAATTAGAACCAGAGATATGATTTTTTGAAAATTGTGAAAATTAATTCAAACTAAAAAAAATGATTAACTTCGAAAAATTGTTGAGACGTTATTTTTGGAGATTAAGAAATGATTTTTATGTTAAATTAAAGCTAAATTCTTTATTTTTAAGAAATTGGCTTAAAATAATAATATTTCATAATTAAATTCTTGAGATATTCCGAGATATCAAAAACTCTGCTTTTTTGTTCATTTAATTCAAATAGCATTGTTTAAAAAAAATCGTATTTTCAAAATTATGGGTGTTTTTTAAATTAATGTTTATCACATGTATTCTATGAAGATTAAGCTTTAAAATAAATCTTCTTTCAGCCTTTAATCATAATTAGAACCAGAGATATGAATTTTTGAAAATTGTAAAATTAATTCAAACTACAAAAAAATGATTAAATTCGAAAAATTGTTAAGACGTTATTTTTGAAGATTAAGAAATGATTTTTATGTTAAATTAAAGCTAAATTCTTTATCTTTAAGAAAATGGCTTAAAATTATAATATTTCATAATTAAATTCTTGAGATATTCTGAGATATCAAAAGCTCTGCCTTTTCCTTCATTTAATTAAAATAGCAATGTTTTAAAAAGTCGTATTTTCAA